GCGTTCTCTTTAGGGATATCACAAAGGTGTATCCCTCTTCTCATCTGACCTAAAATAAATTTCATTTTAAAGGAATTAAACCCAGAAATAACCTAGACTTCAAAGTTGGCAGGAGGGAAGAAGTTGGCCGCTGACATAATAGAACCAAGGTGGAGGGGATTTTCCTCGAGAGGAAGACTTAATTGTCGGCGTTCTCATTGTCCTTTGGAATTTCGTTCTGCTGTGCTTGATCTAAAATGGCAGTGAACAGGAGGTTTTCTTGCTGAGACTGTTGAGAAAGTAGGCTGCTAAAGCCCAGTGCAGCCAGGGCGACGGAAATAGACAAGCCCCCTCTACCTGCACACCCCAAATAAGATGGTCAGAGTTTTCCAGTGATAAGCTCTTCTGGTACAGAAGGAAAGTGTGTGTTAGCTGCTCAGTCATGTCCAACTCTTTGTGACCCCATGGATTGGGGCCCACCAGGCTCCTCTGTCCGTGGGATTTTTCCAGGCAAGAATGCTGGAGTGGATAGCCACTCCCTTCTCCAGGGCATCTTCCCAACCCAGGGATTGAACCCACATCTCCCGCATTGGCAGGCAGATTCTTTACCACTGAGCTGCCAGGGAAGCCCTCACGCCAGCTGGGAAGCTACCAAACAACTGAGCCTGGCCCCTCACCCCCACCTTCAAGCCCTTGTACCAGGGACCCTGTCCTGGGGGAAGGCTGCTGTGTGTCCGGCCCCCTCTATCCTCGCCTAGAAGCTACCCACATTCGAGGACGGTTGTGGGGACCCAAGGTGGGCAGAGAGCCTCCTGGTGGGAGTGTGCCCCCCAGAGGAGTCAGGGGAGGGCTGGCGCGGTCCAGAGCCCAGCCCGAGGCCACACGTGATTGCCAGGCTATTTTTAACTGATACCAATCTCTGCACCAGGGCCTCGGCCTGGCACGCCCCTCCTCCCCCGGGGGGCACTTCTGCAGGCCGAGGATGGGGATACTGCTGTGGCCCAATCACAGTTTCTGGGATTGAGTCGTCTTTCTCTAAATAAGTAAATTAGCTCTAATACCCTTATTTGCTATCAACCTTATAAACCTAACGCAAACCAGATGGGCTTCGCTTCCCGAGCCCCCACGCCGTGTGGCCCAGCCTCCTCGGGTCTGCCCGTGGCTAACCGGCTTCCTTGGCCCCCGCACCCCTCCTTCCTCATTCCCACGTTAACAGCCCCTCCCCAGGAAAAAGACTTTTGGATTACTGCCCGTGTGAGAGGCTTCCTGGGGTCCTCCCAGACCCCCCTGGGAAGCAGGCACAGGAGCCAGAGATGACTCATTTTCAGGGTCAGCCCAGCGGCACCTTCTGTTCTCCTATCTCATACTTTATTATTTTGTAGTAAAAACGCATTGACGATTTTTCTTCCTTATTGCCAAAGTAGTGCTTTCATTTTTGAAAGAGGCGCAAAAAGAAGAAAATCCAAAATCGCCTCTAATCTCTCCAGATAGTTAACATTCTGGGAGACAGCCATGCAGACGTTCATCCAGAGCAGAGGTCAGCACTTTTTTTTTTCTGTAAGAGGCCAGATAGTGAATATCCAGGTCTCTGTGGCTCTCTCTGGCTTCCCAGATAGCTCAGTTGGTGTGGCTCTTACTGTCCCTGCTGTAACTGCTGAACTCTGCTAGTATAGTACGAAAACGGCCATAGGCACCATGCCAAGGAATGCATGGGCTATGTACCAATAAAACTTTATTTACAAAAAGATGCACAGGCAAGCAGGCTTTGGGCCACCTTGAGCCCAGGAGCCATAACTCGCTGACTGACCCCTCATCCAAAGCAGTGCTGTAGAATAGAAACAAAGTGGGAACCACACGGTGACTTAATGTTTCCCATAAGTCCCCATTAGAAAAAGTAAAAAGCAGGTGAACTCTGTATGCATAATATATTTTACTTAACCTAAAATAGACAAAACGGGCTTCCTGGCCAGCTCAGTGGTAAAGAATCCACCGGCCAATGCAGGAGACGCAGGTTTGATTCCTGGGTCAAGAAGATCCCCTGGAGAAGGCAATGGCCACCCACTCCAGTATTCTTACCTGGGAAATTCCATGGACAGAAGAGCCTGGCGGGCTACAGTTCATGATGTTACAAGAGTCAGGTACAACTGAGCGACTAAACAGCAACAATATAGACAAAATACTATTTTGATGTGAAACATGATTCTGAAAGCCTATCAATGAAATGTTTTACATATTTCGGTACCAAGTCTTCAAAAATCCAGACCTTGTTTTATACTTATAGCACATTTCAATTCGGAATAGTCTCATTTCAGATGCCCAGGAGCCAGGTGCGGCCAGAAGCCACTGTGCTGGGGGTGTGAGTCCTTACTACACTTCACCTCCCACATTATCTTACAAGGCAGCATCCTCCACTCCTCATTCCTGGTCACCATCAGCTACCTAACCTCTCTCTGTCTAGCTCCATCACCTGTCAGGTGAAGATCATAAATGCATATCCCATAATGTGGATGTAAGGACTGAATGAGAAGATGCTTAAAAGTCTAGCCTCGGGTCTTGTGAACTATAGATGTTCAGTAAGTGTACACTTCTAGGTTGGCTGTGGGCATAAAGGCAAAGCCAGAGAAAAAACTTGTTCTCGTCGGTATTCTCCTTATCCTCAACACCAAGACTGCTTTAGAAAGCAACCATCCAGGGCTTCCCTGGTGGCTCACTGGTAAAGAATCCACTTGCTAGTGCAGGAGACACGAGTTCGATCCCTGATCTGGGAAGATCCCACATGCCATGGAGCAACTAAGCCCACACACCACAACTATTGAGCCCGTGCTCTAGAGCCTGGGAACCGCAACTGCTAGAGCTTGTATGCCACGAAAAAAAAAAAGCCACCGCAATGAGAAGCTTGAGCACTGCAACGAAGAGTAACCCCCCAAATGGATCACTCACCTAAATGGAAGATGTACAGCTATAAAGTTCCCAGGAAAAAAACCCACATGATAAAATCTACATCACCATGTGTTTGGCAATGAGTGTTTAGATCTGGCACCAAAAGCACAATCTATGAAAGAATGAAATGAACACATTGTCTCCCATGAAAGTTAAAAGCATTTACTTTGTGAAAGAAAAGAAAATGTTAACAGAATGAAAAGATAAGCAACAGACTTGGAGAAAATATTTGAAATCAAGTATCTGGTAAAAAGGACTGGTATCCAGAATATATAAAGAGCTCTTAAAATTCAACAATAAGCAAACCAACCAACCAAATAAAAATAGGCCAAAGATCTAAACAGTCACTTAACTTCAGCAAAGAAGATATATGGATGGCAAATAAGCATATGGGAAAGTGTTCTGCATCATAAGTCATCATTAAGGAAATACAAGTCAAAACCTAAAGAGAGGGACTTGCCCAGTGGTCCAGTGGTTAAGACTTCACCTTCCAATGCAGAGTGTGCGGGTTCGATCACTGGTCAGAGAGCTAAGATCCCTCATGCCTCTTGGCCAAAAAAGCATAAAATAGAAGCAATATTGTAACAAATTCAATAAAGACTTTAAAAATGGGCCACATTAAAAAAAAAACCTACAGAGATATCATGACATGCCTCCCAGAACCTGATGGGAATTCCCATTCCCTGATGGTGCCACAAAGTGGCACAGTTGCCTTATAGACAGTTTGGCATTTTCCTATATAGTTAAACACATACTCATTATTATTGCTCAGTCTCTGAGTTGTGTCCAACTCTTTGCTACCCCATGGACTGCAGCACACCAGGCTCCTCTGTCCTCCATTATCTCCCCGAATTTGATCAAATTCATGTCCACTGAGTCAGTGATGCTATCTAACCATCTCATCCTCTGCTGCCCCCTTCTCCTTTTGCCCTTACTCTTTCCCAGCATCAGCGTCTTTTCCAGTGAGTCAGTCGGCTCTTCACATCAGATGGCCAAAGTATCGGAGCTTCAGCTTCAGCATCAGTCCTTCTAATGAATATTCAGGGTTGATTTCCTTTAAGAACACTCATTATACAACCTAGCAGCCCTCCTCCTGGGATTCATGCTGTTGCCATGTGGGTCTGTCAACTAAATGCCAGGGCCATGAGGCGGGGGTCCCACAGGCAGGCGGCTGGGCGCCAGCCTCCAGGCAGTGGGAGTTAAAGTTTCCTGAGCCCCTTGCCCACCTGCATGGACCTCACACCTCACCCCTGCAGCTCAGTCCTGTTCTCTTTGTGGAGTCCTCTTATCTGTACACTTTCTCCTAGATTTATAACATATGACTCACTCGTCCTTAGCTTCCCTGGTGGCTTAGGTGGTAAAAAATCCACCTGCAATGCGGAAGACCTGGGTTTGATCCCTTGGTTGGAAAGATTCCCCTGGAGGAGGGGATGGCAACCCATTCCAGTACTCTCGCCTGGAGAATCCCCATGGACAGAGAAGCCTGGCGGGCTGCAGTCCATGGAGTTGCAACAAGTCAGACACGATTGAGCAACTAGTCACATACAGCACACATTCTGAAACCTCCCCCCAGACACCCCTCTGGCGAGCGTTATCAGCGCCGTACACGGGCTTCAAAGTCGTCCTGACCCGGGCTTCTCAGAACCTCGCTGCTCCAGACCACACGTGACCCACGGGGAGGTGAGGAGAAAGCCGGCAATTTGCTCAGACTTATCTGACCGCTAACTGGTTTTTTCCCACCGAGGCTTTCATGGGATTTGAAGGTGGGGAGATGGGCCCTCACAGAGCTCCCCAGCAGTCTTCCAGACAGGTCTTGTTATCAGCCCCATTGTGCAGATAAGGAAGTCGAGACCTGCAGAAGTTACAGCCGTTGTTTGCTCAAGGCCACAAGTCTGTAAAAACGGGCTGGATTCTGACCCAGGCAGCCAGGCCCCACAGCCCACCCAGGTAGACCCAGGTAGGCCCATCTGCCCTTTGGGGTCCCGTCCAAGCCCTACAAGGAGCTTTCAGCCACCCGGGCCCCTCCCACCCTTGGCTTCGCCATCCCCCCTGTCCCCATTGCTCTCAGACTGTACCCCCACTTCCCGGATGCCAGCAGCCCGGAACCCAAAGCTTGGCCTTCTGCCCTGACAGGGGCTATAATGGCCAAGACCTGCCCTGCGGTCTTCAGGGGCCGGATGCTCCAAGAAGCTGACCAGATGACAAGCTTGGTGGGGGTCTCTCTGGAAAAGTGAGTCAGAGCTGGGTCCCTCAGCAGAAGGGCCAGAGCTTTCACTCCCAGCAGCATCCCTGGAGGAAGCCCGAGGGCCATGCGCAGGCTCGGCGCAGTAGGCCACTTCCAGGCCACGGCCGGATTTGTGCTTATCACATCTGCGGGCAGCTTGGCCTCCAGGTTTGCTCCAGGCCTCAGAGCTTTCCTGAGCTCCTGGCAGCCTCTTGTGTCCTAGTAAGATGGGCCACCCAAGGCCATGGCCTTATCTGGGGCCCGGCCCTCTCCCTGGGCCTCAGGCTCCCCAGGGAGTCACTTCCACCCAAACCCACAAGAAACCTTGGCAGCTCCCCTCTCGGGAGCCTGCCCACCTGAGAATTTAACACTCACCTCCCTCTGGGTAAAAAAAAGACCCCCATCAAATTTATTCTAGAAGCACACCATCCTGCAGGGGAGCCAAGAGAAGGAGTGGGAACAGAGCTCCTGACGGAGATGGAATTCTCCAGACAGAGAAAAGGTGGAAGTGAGTAAGTAGTTATCAGCTTCCTCAACTGTGGAACGGGGCTAAGGTGGTTCTTATCTGGGAGGGTAAGTTGTGAAGACAGATGAGGCCATAAACACACAGCTCCAGAGGAAAAAGGGCACAGGGTTCCCCTACACTGGTCATCGTGGTAACTCTTACTCCTTCAGTAATAACCTTTTTAACAACAGCAACTCTTGAGACTCCCTTGGACTGCAAGGAGATCCAACCAGTCCATCCTAAAGGAAATCAACCCTGAATATTCATTGGAAGGACTGATGCTGAAGCTCCAATCATTTGGCCACCTGATGCAAAGAGCCGACTCATTGGAAAAGACCCTAATGCTGGGAAAGATTGAAGGCAAGAGGAGAAGGGGGCAACAGAGGATGAGATGGTTGGATGGCATCATCGACTCAGTGGATGTGTTTGAGCAAACTGGGGGGGATGGTGAAGGACAGGGAAGCCTGGCATGCTGCAGTCCATGGGTTTGCAAAAAGTCGTAGACGACTGAGCGACTGAACAATGACAGCAACAGTAGCGTGATAACCACAACACACCGACATCACATCCACACCGTACACAGTGCTGGACCCGCTCCTGCTTCATCCCACTCCTGCTCCATGGGGACGAACGAAGACCCGCAGTGTCCACTGCAGAAACCAAGACTCCTGACCTTAAACTTGAGCCGCTGCCTACACACCCCTCCCATCCTGGCCCTCCGCTCCCGCGGCTGCCTCTCGACACAGTTTTGCCAGGTGGGGGAGGAAGAGTTCAGAAGTCCAGACCTCCCCACCCAGACATCCCTGCACATCCCGTGGGAGGCGAGGAGGACCTCCGGTGGACCAAGTCAGTGTCCCTGCACGTGGCTCCTGTGTGGGGTGCTGCCTGGCCCCAGGCAGCAGCCCAGACACCCAGACTCAGCTACCTCCATCACGACGGACCAAGAGGGTTGCTGTGAGGGCTAAGAGTTTGGATAAAGAGCACTGAGCCCATGAGGTGGGTTCATAGCCTCTAACACTCTCTGTCCAACCCCCAGAACCTTGCAGGTGGGGCGTTTTATGAAGAAAGGGTCTTTGAGGCGGTGATTAAGTCAAGGATCTCGAGGTGAGACCATCCTGGAGTGCCTGCCTGGATCCTGGATCCCATGACAGGTGTCCTGATAAGAGGAGAGGATAGAAGGGTGTGGGACAGACCCACGGGAGAGACCACCTGAGGACGGAGGCAGAGACTGGAGTGATGTGGCCACAAGCCAAGGACACCTGGGGTCACCGGCACTGGATGGACCCTCCCCTGACTTCACACCTCTTCCTTCCACAGCTGAGCAAGGACTCCTCTCTGTCATTGTGAGCACCCCCAGCCTAGGCCCCCTGGTTTTGTTACAGCAGCTCAGGCTACTCACAGCACGTGGCTCGCGTTCGATAAGGGGCGGCTGTCCTTCCATCAGCAGGTACCTGCATGCCCCCACCCCCGGCCTGGCACCCGGGACGCGCCAGTGTCCCGATGGAGACCTGGGAGACCACAAGGTCTTGAGACCCTCGTCTGCCAGGAAGAGACGAGAAGTGCACCTGGGCTCCCATCACCCACCCCCCTAAAAGCCTGCAGTCCTCATACCCCGAGAAGCAAACCAGAACCAGGCTACTGGGTCCAGTGACACTGCCTCCAGGGCCTCAGCTTCCTCATCTGTAAAATGGGCTTATTAGGAGTTCTTCACCTGCAAACACCTGCACATTGGATATTATTATATCATCTGCATTAAATCGTGGAGGTGGACACCACAATCTGCTCAAGTTAGGTACACCCTGATCCCAAGCGAAGAGTCCACTGGCTTCTCCCTTGCAAAGAAAAACCAGATTAGTCCCCCTGCACGTGAGCCCTGAGATCCCAGAGAAGTGAGTTCAGTCGGGGCCAGCCCAGGAGCAGCCAAGTCCTCCAGCGTCCACCTCCCCCAGGCCCGGTAGGGACTTAATCCATCCCACATGCAGCCCTGGCAGGCGCTGACCCTTGCCCATTAACCCCGAGCCCCGCTGCCCCGGCGGAGAACTACCGTCTGTCCCCGATAACCTCCCTGACATAATTCAGCCGGCCTCACGCAGGCTGCAGAGATGGGCCGATAACGCCGCCCGTTCTGGGGTCAAGTTAGCGGGGCACGGCTGACAGCCCTCACTGCCTGTAAAAAACAAGAGCCCATACCACCGGCTTTAGGAACAGTTACTGCCATGCTTTCTTCTCCCTGGAAACCCAGAGGAAACAGGAGAAGGCCAGCAAGGCTGGGAGGAGATGCCGTCCTCACAGACAGCGGGCTGGCCACCCCAGAGCAGTCTCCCGCACACCCCTGAGCCGCCTTTGGCTAACAGAGAGCAGTGTGGTGCTGGCCTTGGTCAGTTTTCTCAAATAAAGCTATAAAATGTCCCAGGGTCCTAAGGGAGAGCCCCAGGGCCCAAGGCCACAGGCAGCTTCCCCAGGGAGAGTGTGAGGCCCTGGAGCTCGCACACGATGGCAGGTGGGCGGGCGGGCACCGCATCGCAGGGGTCCAGGAACTCAGCTGAATGGGGCCCCCCAGAAGGGGAGCAGGGCCTGCCCCCGAGGGCTCAGAGTCACCAGCCCTGGGTCCAAGTGCAGCCCCCACACCCACCTGAGCAAGAGCAGCCTTGGGGAAGTCACAGGGCCTCTTGGCCTCAGTCTTCTCATCTGTCAAGTGGGGGTAATGGGTGGGGGTTGGAGACTGGTGCTCCTGGAAGCTCTTAGTGCAGAAGCTAATGGTTCAGTCAAGAGCATCTCCTGCTCCTCCAGGCCTTGAGGTCACGTCACCCTGATAGCTCCTCACTGGCAGGCAGGCAAGCCAAGACATGGCCCCACAAGCCCAGCTGGCCCCCAGGGATCAGGCCTGGATCCCTGCGGATGATGCTGCCGGAGCAAGTCCCCCAGCCCAGCCCTGCCCGACTCCCCCATCCAGGACCTCCTCTCACCTGTGAACTCGAAGGGGGAGGGCCGTCCCAGCGTCCCCACCACCACCCCAGGCAGGCTGCCAGGACTGCTTCCCACACAGCAGGTGTAGTCCAATACAGTGCCCACCGCCCATCCTGTGGGGCCCTGCGGGCGGAGGCCCTCACCCTGTGGCCGAGCCCGTGAGAAGCAGAGTCAGAGCTTGATACCTAGATGTGGGGCACACAGAATATTTACCTGGAAATATGAATGTGGTCTTGGACTGGGTAGCAGGTCACAGCTGGGAGAACTTGATGGGAAAAGTGAGATGGCCTTGAACTGTTAACGGAAACATGGAAGTCAAGGGCAGCTGGTGAGGACTCGGGAGGGAGCGGGTGTGGGGGGACCCAGGGAAGGCAGCAGTCCAAGAGAAGACCCGCGCCCCTGAGCAGGCTATGTCCACCCTGCACCTCGTGCCCTCTGGGCCTGAGAAAGCACCAGAGGGAAAAGGGGAGGAAGGAGGAAGGGGGTCGCAGGAGCCCAGATGCTGTCCAGAACCACACCAGGGAGGTCTGGGCCATGGAACTGCAGCAGCAGGAGCTGCCAGGGCAAGCCATGCTGGGCTCAAAAACAGAGGGAAGAGGCCGCTTTCTCTGAGCCCACTTTGCCGGTCTAGACTGAGCAGTTTAGAGACTCGCTACTCAGAGTGGGGTCCCCAGACCAGCAGCTGCAGCATCACCCGGAAGCTCGCTGGAAATATAGAGTCTCAGGCCCCACCCCAGGCCCTTCAAATCAGAGACTCTAAGAGGCAGCCGACCTGCCAGCGTCAATAGCGTGTGGGGTTTTCTGTTTTTAATGGACATCTCCAACTTGTTTAGAAACAGCAAAAAAATACATGCACTTATGCACACATAGTAATATATGCATATATGTGCATATATACTGTGTATACTATATATAAAATATAGACATATATAGGAATATATGTATTTACAAATCCTGTGTTCGTAAGATTACTTGATAGAGATGTTCTCTCTTACAGCAGTTTAACTTGTCAGTGGTCTTTTTTAAAAAAAATATTTATTTATGTGTTTGTGCATTTAGCTGGCTGTGCTGGGTCTTGGTTGTGGCACGTGGGATTTTCAGTCTTTGTCTCAGCATGCAGGATCTGTAGCTGTGGCACCTGTGCTCTGGTTCCCTGATCAGCAAGGGAACTTGGGCCTCCTGTATTGAAAGTGTGGAGTCTTAGCCACTGGACCGCCAGGGAAGTCCTGTGAGTGGTCCTTACAAAAATGCTGGGCAGCCATGTCATTTCTCAGCCACTCCGTGTTCATTTAGTCTTACTGTTAAGAATGCTATTCTGAAATGTAAAATAACGTACAGAAAAGTTTGTTAACTATGAGTGCACGGATCAATGAATCCTCATGAAGTGACCCCATCATGTACGCAGCCCCCGGCACCAGGAGAAAGAAGGTGACCTGCCATCCTCCAACCGCCCCCCCCACAGCTCCTCCCAGTTACTGCTCCCCACCCCAGGACCCACGATCCTCTAACAGCCTTGTTTTGGCCCTCCCACTGTACCGCATTCAAACAAGAAATGTATAATCGACACTCTGATCCTTCCCATATGACTTGTTAGACAATGCGGCAACATCATCTACTTACATTTATTGCCAAAGACAACATCAGCCCCTGCTTTGCTGGACACCCTCCGTCACTGCAACCCGGGGTCCCTGCTCTCACAGCCCCTCTGTCCCAATGGCCTGTGCTCTCTGCTCCCAGAGCCCCCACCTCCTGTTTGTTCAGGAACCGCCGTCACGGGGGGAAGAGGACGAGGGTCAGCATTCAAACCCCATCTCCACACTCTGCAGCTGGGGGCACGGTGTGTCACAAGAGCCTCAGCTTCCCCATCTGTAAAATGGGCGTCTCGATAGGCCCTCCCTCACAAGTGGTTGTGAAGGTCAACTCCGTGGGCTGGTGTGTTCAGTGCAGGTTGCCCGGCCCCTGTGGAGGGGAAGGTGGGCCGGTCCTGGGGTTGGAGCCCCAGCTCCCTGACTGTACCGTGGGCCTGGTGACAAGCCCTCTTACAGGGTCAGGGGGAAGGGTGATGTCTGTGAAAGGTCTGGCACGTAGGGAAAGAGTCTTGCTGCCCCAATGTGTTATTTATGTTATTATTATCGTCATCTACCTGGCTCAGGAGGGCCACCTCCTCGAGGCAGGTGGAGGTCATACACAGGGCAGCAGGGGAGGTCTGGACCACCCCCCCATGTCCCTCCTCCATCCGGGAGATAAAGTCTATCAGGGACCATCTGGGGTGGGACGTGTCACTCGTAACCTCTAGGAGAGCATATGTGTCATCAGCCAGAGGCCAGCTCCCCAGGGCTGCAGATAACCCAGAGACCCTCATGGATGGCGCTCACCCACGGAGAGGCAGGGAGGCACCCCCCGCCCCGGGCGCCCCATATAGAGCCCTGCCCTCCCCCACTCCCACCTACCCGCCTTCAGCTCGTCTCTGCCCGGCACCAGGAGATGCACAAAGACACTCGTGTGATGAGTGAGCCAGAGAGGTGCTGGGTCCCCTTGGCCACTTGGCACATTATAAATCACCACCCTCTGATAAGCCCAGCTTTCCTCCAACCAGGACGCCGGCCCTGGGAATTCCACCTGCCTTTTGAGATCCTCTGAGTGTGTGGCCCAGCAACCGCAAATCTAGCGACTTGTTCTCCGAAGCCAGGAAGCAAGGGTGTGTGTCAAGTTATTTAAGAGGCAAACATGTAAAAGTCTCACAATAATGGTGATGATTATCATCTCGCTACCTGGCTGAAGGGGCTAACCTGCCAACCTTCTTTTTAAAAAACGATATTGATTTGTTTTGTAATTCCAAACATCATCCGAGTCCATGGAGGAGCTGGAAGCTGGGCAGCAGAAATGTTCATGTTGCCTGGCATGCAGCAAACACTGCTGCCGCTGGGGATGACGCAGACTCACCAAGGCCCAGAGGTGACTGGGCAGGTGAACCTGGGGATGGATTCTGAGCAGGGGGACGGAGAGAGGAGCCAGGTCTCAGACCCGCGCTGAGGACAGCCGCTGCCCACGTGACTAATGGACCTACATGCAGGCTCCAGGCCAGATAAACGCATCCCCTGGCCAGGCCATTTTTCCTCTGCTATCTCCTGTTGAGGCCACGCTAACACCCCGTCAGCTGCCTCTGATGGATGGGCTCGGGGGGCCCAGCCCACCCCTCGTGTCGACCCTCGGGGGAGCTTGGCAGAAGCAGCCTGCTAATCTTCAAGACTGGTTCTCTTTGGGGGTGAACACCCCAAGACTAGAGCTTCTCACGCTCTACAGACGCCTATGCACACACACGTGTGTAGGCACACATGTACACACACACACACACTGCTGTGTTCCGTCAGTCAGCTTGTAAAGCTTGAAACTCAGCAAGCTCAGCTCCCAGGAAGTTGCCTGAGTTCACAACACCAGACAGCTTCTCATTAACCCCCTGTGAGTCTACATAAAGGTCGCACTCCAGTTCCCAAGGGACGTCCTGGTGGCTCAAACGGTAAGAATCTGCCTGCAGTTCTAGAGACCAGGGTTCGATCCCTGGGTGAGGAAGATCCCTTGAAGGAGGGAATGGCAACCTGCTCCAGTATTCTTGCCTGGAGAATTCCATGGACAGAGGAGCCTGGTGGGGCTACAATCCAGGGGGTCGCACAGAGTCAAACACGACTGAGCAACTCACATACTTTCAAAGTACCCACAGAAGGATTTGGGATGAGGAGGCTAGCTGACCACCACTTCCCAGAAAAGGCCACACTAGCCCATTGTGGGCTGTCCACTTGCCCGCTGACTCAGACCCCACCGTTTCCTGGGAGAAGCCGGCCAGTGGTCCCCTTGCTCCTAAATCCTCAGACGGTCAGAAACAGTAGAGTGATTCTGAAGCCTCATGCCAAACACTCCACCTTCAAGCCGTAAACTTCCTGTCAAGCAAAATAGAATGAGCTGCACGGGCTCCAGTTACAAAATGGACGTGGAAGTGTCACGTGGTCATGCCAGATAAACAGCGGGCTCCCCAACCGCTCCGACCTCTCCGCGTTCCATCCATGCCCGTTACAAACCCCACCCCTCGTCCCGGCCGTCTCCGGGGAAATGACAAACGCCGGATGGAACCAGTGGGACCCCGGAGGCCGGATGCCCACCATCCAGCACTGTTTATGCTGAGCCGTCCTGGAAGAAAAATGTGAGAATGCCTTTTCAGAACATGGTGGCGAGCAAGGCCCATCCGGGTGCCAGGGAAGCCACACAATAGGGGCGAGTGCGTAGCGGAAGGACAGGGCTGGGCACAGCCGCCCTGGGGATGCAGTGGCCCCTGCCCTCCTCTTTCGGTCCAGGTTCCGCAGAAGGCACCGGGTCCCGTTCTCCAACCGGTACACTGTGTTGACCTCCCTTGACCCGGCAATTAGTGGAAGCCAAATCCATCCCGCTGATTGGCCAGGAAAACACTGAGTTCTGGGCAATGGACACCCAGGTAGACACGCGGTTCCCTCATGAGAGTCATTCATACAAGTCCTTGTACCAATACAAGGTACCAATACAAGTCTGGAAGCAAGATTTGTATTATTATTTCAGCTCAAATGCTACTTGTTCATTCAAAAGCAGGTGAGTTTCTCAAAAAAAAGACCAGTATGCCTGAGCTCCCGGCCATATTGGCTGCTCAGATGACACTCCTCACTCTTTTCGCAAGGAAGATTCTGGACGTACACAGGTTCTCCGGGATCTGCAAGAGAACCCGGCTCCTTGGCAGTGTCGCCCTTACTAGTCTCCTATCTCACCAAGAACTGAATTTCTTGAGATATCAGCCCAGAAAAAAAGCCAGTCAACCAATGCTTACGAAAGCTCCACCATGTACAAGGTGCTACTGGTTAAGACCCACCAATCCCAGAGGCAAGCGCTGGTTGCTCCTTGGACCGGGAAATCTCACCTTGGATTTCCAGAAGACTAGCTTTAGGGGCTCCTCAGATACTGTGTTTCAAGTAAGGGCTCTGCCTTCCTATTGACTCCTGCGTGACTGTGGCCACATGAGCTTGCCCTTCTCTGCCTGGGTCTTCTCTGCAAAATGGAGATAACAGTCATGTCTACCCCTCACCAGCGGTTGGTTGTGGAAACCGAATGAGAAGATGCATGTAAAACTCACAGCCTTGCTCTCAGCCTCACAGATCCTCACTGGACAGTGGGTGGGTCGGGCTGTGTCTAACAGACCCCAGCTCACAAGTCCGTCTCACTCCCTCGCAGGAGTCCAAGCTCTGCTCCCCAAAGCCCACAGCGGGCAGGGGTCCGTCCATCCTGCTGCCCCCACCTTGCATGTCCTCATCGGCTGGGGCCACAAAGGGAGGGGTACGGGGACAGCAGGCAGGTCCAGAACCACACCATCGCAGCCCACTGGCCAGCACTGTTCACATGACCACAGCCGACTGCAAGGCAGGCTGGAAAGTGGGGTCTTTATTTGGGGCCATCACTTCCCTCGCTTGAATTTAGGGGTGCTGTTCTACAGGGACAGGGAAGATGGATATCAGGGGCCTGCAAACAGTCTACTCAGCCTATGAGATAAGAACTGTTGTCTCCATTTTACAGATGAAGACTCCAAGGCTCAGAGAGATAAAGGGCACCATCCCAAAACACACAGCTTCTTACATCTGAGCCTCACCCATGGGGCTGCCCCGCCCCCTAAGTAGTGGTCACAAGGGGGCCTGTTTTCCCCAGGCTAACTCATGAGTTTCAGTGAACAAACAGGGTGGCCATCTGGGGGCAAGGGGAGGTTTGCAGGCCGAGCTCCTTATGTCACCCGGGCCTCCCAGGAAGAGACCGCAACTGCCCAGGGTGGCAGGGTGGCCTCAGGAATGCAGCTGCTCCAAGGTGGGAGGCAGCCCAGGAGGCCCTCTCCACACGGGCCGGTTGTTTTCGGCGTCTCCAGGGATTAAGAGAGCAGAGACGGAGCCTCTTCCAAGGAGCTGAGGGTCCTCCACCCAACTCCAGCCCAAGCGCTGTCCTCCCCAAGCCTCGCTGGGGAGCGTCTGGTGGGGCAGCAGGGGGCACGGGAGGGGCAACCCTGGACGCCTGCTCCTCTCTGAGCTGACATGGCAGGGGGCTCGTCACCCACTGGGCCCAGGGCCAGGCGCCCACAGGCATCATTAACCCACGAGGACTGGCAGCGGCCCCACGTGGCCACGCTGCCACACGCTATCCCCGGCAAGAAATCACAGCCCAGGTGACTCAGGTGGCCCAGGAGGGGCTGGGAACTCAGGTCACCGGGCACCTTTCCACCAGCCTCGTCCCGCACGGAGCCGCCGTCTTCTTCACTGAGGTCAAGCTCAGTGGACACACAGCTCCAGGCACCCCTCCCAGCAAAGGCTTTTACGCGGGCGTTCTGGAGCCGCCCGGTGAACAGGTCTCAGAATCGAAGAGATTCAGGTTCTGTGGCCACGCTGGGTGTTCAGCCCGGACAACCTGCATGCAGACTGTGGCCGTGGCCTTCCTGGCTGTGCTTCCTGTTGAGACAGCCCCCCACCCCACCCCACGGCCTCAGTCTTCTCGTCTGTGACCTGGGGATGTGAGTGACCACTGGCCGGGGCTGCTGGAAGAAAGCTGTCTCTTTAGTGGTGGCAGTGGTGGGCACTGGCATCTTCGTCTTTCTCTTGAGCTTTCCTTTACATTTGAAACGAGATCAAAGCTTAAAAAAATTAAATGCACGGAAGAAGAGATGGAGGTAGATCTACAGATTAAGGAAACCTCAGCGTCACCCTTGACCCTTAAGATTTAAAGCGCAGTGCTTGCCCCCGGAGAATCTGGTCTGGGACGCAAATAACCACAACCCAGGGAGAGGGGGCGGAAGGGCGGCTCGACACCGGCCCTGAGCCCAGACGGCCCTTGCTCGAGGCTACAGAGGAGGCCTGGCTCCTTGAAACCAAACAGCGCCTGTTGCAAGAACATCACTTCCCCCCGTGAGGAGACCAAAGCTCAGGGGGCCAGGGTTATGGGTCACCCCCTCCTCGGTGGAGGCTGGGATTGCCCCGCCGTGTGCTCAGTCCTGAGCCCCTGTTCCCAGGGGGACCAAGGTGCCAGGCAGTGGTGTCTGAGCTGCCTGCCGACACTCATGGGGGTTTGCGGTACTCGCCTGAGGCATCCATCCCAGGGGAGACGGAGCCAAGGTCTGCATCCACCAGCCCCCACCAGGCCCAAGCTCAGGGCACCCTTTCTGGTCTGCCTGTGGCCAGGCCTTCTCTGAAGCCTCAGGCTGACTCCAGGTACGCGGGGAGGAGGCCAGCGGTTCATCAGGAGGCTGGAGGGCTGAGGGGTGGGGACAGGGCTGCCCTGCGTGTGGCCGCGTGTCCATTCCTGCTCCACTACCCTTTCTGTTTCTCTCCCTTTGCCACACTCTCCTAAGTCTTAGCATCTTTGATGACAAGAAAAGAGCAACAGAAGTCATTGTGAATTCTTACAAAAACACAAGAACTGCTTGCCCCAAATTTCTCCCCAGGAGAGTCGGCTCGCAGGAGGCGCCTGGGCACAACTTCCTTCCAGCCAGGTCCTGCCTCCGGCCTCATGCCCCCCCACCCTGCCTCCCCGGACACCTGTGGCCCACTGGGTGACGTGTTATTGTGTATTTGAACAAGCAGCGGTGTCCGTCAGCAGCCCGAGGCCACCACTGCCAGGCTGTGATGACCCGGTCCTGACCAGGCCCCTTTCCGAAATTCCTCACTTGCTGGTGGTCAGGATCGGACTGACCCCGACATGGGAGTTTCCCTTCTTGACTCTGGGATGTTGAAATGATTAAACACAGCCTGGGGTGGGGTGCGGGGCATCCACAGTGAGTGAGGGTCTGCACCACTTAGGGGCTGGGAGTCTCCACACAAAGAAACGAGTCCCTTCTGCTCCCCGGTGCCCCACCCCCCTGGCCAACCTGGGGACGCGCGACAGAGAGAATGAGGTGGCAGGCCAACCCAGAGAATTCCAAACTGGCTCATGGGAAACCACTTATGCCTTTTCCCCCGACACAGAACCAGGGTCATCCCCTGATCAGAATAAACTGAGAGCCAGTTCCCTGGAACTCTGTGTCTCTGGGGACAGAGGCTGAACCCGAAACCCTGTAGGAACCAGTCATGCCACGTGACCTTGGGCAACTGACTTAAATTCTCTGCCTCCATTTCATCCTCTGAAAAAAAATGGAGACAATGAAATTTGCTACTGATATAAATTTTAAAAACACCTGATCTTGTGACTGTCATAAAAGAACAGGGCAAGGCTAGTAAGTGGGGGCCATGGTGGCTGTGGCGGGGATTTGATGAGTTGCAATATTTGGAGAACTCAGAACTTAGCTTGGCACAGAGCTCGGCCCTCAAATAGTTATCACTATTAGCACCACTGTCACTATGAGACAGAGTGTGGTGTAGGAGAAAGACTGCTGGCTTTGGAGACTGAGAAATCTGTGGGCTCAGCCACTTGCTGTGTGTCTTTATGAGAATCGCCTAACCTGAGCTTAGTTCCTCATCCACACATTTGTTTTGTCTTGGGGGCAAATAAGATAATGCAGCATTTTAAAAAATGTATAGCTTGGGTGGTAACAGATTATTTTAGGTGATCAATGGGCAGACTTTTTTATTTTAATGGTAAATGTATTTCTTTTCATGCTTATTAGGGGGAAATGCAGAATTAAGTACCAAACCCGTCATTCTTCAGGAATCGTTACTGGGACCGAGACTCCTTTCACATAAGCTTGAATGTCTTCTATACTGAATCTATTTATAGAAAAGTATTAGTAAAAAGTACAGGGGAGACCAAACACACAGCAGGAATGGGAAGGCTGCATGGGTGAAGGTAGGCTTGTGCCCCGCGTAGCCCCTGGAGCGCCGGCATCCCCGCAGCTGCGGCTGCCCCTCTCTGCTTCTCACCTGCACGGGGCATTGCTCCGCCCTGCTGCCGAGGGAAGCCTGGGAGCACCGGAAAGTGAGGGACGAACGCCTCCCTTCCCATCCAGCATCTCGGGGGCACAGCACCTAGGGTCCCCAGGGGGCTGAGCCCCGGCTACCCATGCACTTCCTAATGACCTTTTCCGCATCCCTTGGCCCATGGCCCCTTCTCCGTCTTCAGTTAGCAGGGTAAAAAGTTCAAGTCTCCCTTCTATCTTTCCAGGACCCTTATGATTGTACTGGGCCTCCTCAGATAATCTAAGATAATCTCTCCATTTTCTTGGTTTTTTGTTTGTTTGTTTAAATATTTTATTGAAGTGTAGTTGATTGACACTGTTGTGTTAATTTCTGCTGTCCAGCAAAGTGACTCAGCTATACATATATATTCTTTTTCATATTCTTTTCCATTCTGGCTTATCACAGGATATTGAATATAGTTTCCTGTGCTCTACAACAGGACCTTGTTTATCCATCCTATATGCAATAATTTACATCTACTAACCCCAAACTCTCACTCCATCCTTCCCCCAACTCCCTCTCCCTGGGCAACCATAAGTCTATTGTCTGTCCGTGAGACTGTTTCTGTTTCATAAAGGTGTTTGTGTTGTGTTTTAGATTCCACATGTAAGTGATACCATATTTGTCTTTCTCTTTCTGACTTACTTCATTTAGTATGATAATGTCTGGGCCCATCCATGTTGCTGCAAATGGCATTATTTCATTTTTTATGGCTGAGTAGTATTCCATTGTACATTTGTATCACATCTTCTTTATCCATTCATCTGGTAACAGACATTCAGGTTGTTTCCATGTCGTAGCCATTGTTAATAGTGCTGCTATGAACATAGGAGTGCATGTATGTTTTTGAATTATAGTTTTGTCTGGATGTATGCCCAGGAGGGGGATTGCTGGATCATATGGTAGTACACTGTTCTCCATTCCATAGTGGCTGCATCAAGTTACATTCCCACCAAGAGTGTAGGGAGGTTCCCTTTTCTCCACACCTTTTCCAGCATTTGTTTTTTGCAGACTTTTTAATGGTGGCCATTCTGACCAGTGTGAGGGGGTACCTCGTTGTAGTTTTGATTGGCATTTTTCTAATAATTAGCCAAGTTGAGTATCTTCTCATGTGCCTGTTGGCCATCTGCATATCTTTGGGGACCATTATCCTGCCAGCCACAGAATTCCTGGATCACACTCCCCTCAAAAGCTACCTGGCCCCAAATCCTTATCTCAGGCTCTGCTTCTGGGGACCCAACCCCCATCCCAAGATAAAGCACACCCCACTCAGTCTCCAGGGTCCCCCGTCTGGTGCTCCTGGGAGCCCAAGTGAGACTTCTGTGTGTGGAATTGATGTCACACTCTGTGACTCGCACTTGGAGCCAAACACACCCACTGGCGGCCACTTTTCCCAGAAACTCTTGAGTTTCAGCTGCAGGAAAATGAAGTTTTATTTCAAAGTTACCCTCATGGTCTGTTCACCTAAAAGAAATACCCAAAACGATATTGGCTGCTTTCCCCAAACTTCTCAGAGCCCCTCTGTCTCCAGTAGCTGCAGTCCCCAAGCCTTTGGCGGTCAGGCATGTGTTTGGGACAGAACAGATGCCCTGCTCAGCTGAGGTGGGGAAACAATAAGAAACAGGGTCCTTGTTGTGAGAAGGGAAGATTTTTCCCCAAGCTCTGGACTTGGGAGTGGAGTCTTGTTGCCCCAGCTTTGAAATGCAGCTCTTCTCCTTCTTAGCAAAGAGAAACTTCATTTCCCCAAGCCTCCATTTTCCCATCTGTGAAATGGGGTGATAACATTCACCCAGCTCCAGGGGTGATATTCAGAGTGTCTAGCAGCTCACACAGAACAGGCATCAAACATTCCAAGCAGGGCCAGGCATAAATAACCAATACGGGAAGCCAGCACCGTGAGCAGAGCACCCACCTCGCCCACGCCAGGACCATCGTGAGGGCGTGATGAGAGCTCGGGCAATGCAGCGTGTCCTCCAGCAGCAGGGCCATGATGACCTGCCCTCATCCTACCAAGGCCATCAGGTCACATCACCGTGCTGAGGACAAGTTCCTTCGCTGGAGGCAAGTTGAGCCTTACCTAAAGCAAGTCCTGGCAACCGCAGGGAGGCCAGACCTCGCCGACTCCATGCCGGGACCAGGCAGCAGAGGCTGCTATGCTCAAGGGAAAGCAGGGTCGGGGTTGGTCCCAGCTCCACCGCGTCTGGACTTTATCTTGAAAATCAGGACACGTCTTACTTATGCTTGCCCCAAATTGCTCAATGCGAGCATCAGATCTTGGCATCAGCAGTCTGGACAGAGGGCCATGTGGAGAGGAGTCTCTGAGGCCAGGGTCCGGGGTGGGGGGGTGGGGTGCGTGTGCAGGGCAGTTGCCCCACTGCTCTGCAAAGGGCAGCTGGCTGGGCTCTGAAGTTGGGGGAGACTCGGGGACAGTGTGACCTGGAGCCCAGCGAGGCCAACATCTGCAGATCCTGTCCAAGCCGCAGCCAGAGCCCAGCTGTCCTGTTCTGTCCTGTTACCTATTAGGGGACACGATCCCTGCAGAGACCCGGCCTGGCTTTGGAAACCCAATGTGGGTGATTCCTACGCCCTGAGTCATGCCGGGAAGAGAGCGTTGGTGGGCCACGTTGCACAGGGCGGGTTCCTGTTTCCCATTTTGTCTTTCCAGATTCTCATCCTGTCTTGGGCCTGCGGCAAGGTGGGGTGGGGTATGGAGACAGGGCAGGCCCTCACCTCGGGGATCCTGGCAGGGAAACAGAACAGAGGAAAACGACGGATGGGACACGCGCCACTCCTGCTGGCCCCATGGGAGTTGTCCACCGGGGGGGAGTGGGGGGACCTCGCCTGCAGGCAGCTTGGGAGGAGGGGCGGGGGCTCAGAGCCCAACCTGCAGCTCCTTCCCGGAGCTCCTCAGAGAGGTCAGCCACGGAGTCACACACAGCCACAAACAAAAGAGCAGCGCCGGTTACGTGCAGAACCCTTTACATGTATTATCACATATGATTTCGTTCAGTCTTCACAGGACGCCCACAGCAGAAGCCAGGGCCCAGAGAGGTGATGTAACTTGCCCAAGGACATACAGCCAGCAAGTAGTGGAGCCTGGATTTGCCATCTGGCCACTGAGACGCTAAAGCCTCCAGGGCACGCAGAGGAGGTGGAGCTATAGACGTGCCCTGTGTCTCTGTGAGCTCAGTGGAGCCGGGTGAGTGCATCTGGCAGAGGGAACAGAGAGTGTGGTCCTTCACAGAAGACGCTGTTTGCTCAAAAGCAAGGGCTTTTTGAAGGAAATGAGATCCTGGGACCAGGAGATCTGGATGCTAGGACCAGGCCCTCTGACCTCCGAGCCCCCGGCTGAAAGCCCGTGCTCCGGTTCCCGGTCTGAGTGAACGCCGGCCGGCACCGTCTCTTTCAGGGCTCGAAACTTCCAGCTACCGCGCCAAGGTCTCCACGCTGCATGGTGCCGCCCCTCACAGTGCTTTCCGTTTGGAAATCGGGTCTCTGCTGAGGTGGTCAGTTACAATGAGGTTATGCTAGGTGAGATGGGGCACTACATGCCTCGACTGCGGCCTGATGGGAAGGCCGCACGCAGACACCCAGTGGGGGCTGGGGAGGCGGGGTGTGGAGAAGTCTCGCAAGGATGGAGGCAGAGGTCGGGGAGAGGCAGCCACAGCCAAATGACACGCGGGAGAGCCGGCAGCCTCGCAAAGCTGCGAGCCAGGCCAGGAGGGCCTCCCCCTAGAGCCGTCAGAGCGGCCCTGTGACACAGATGGCAGACTCTGGGCCTCCAGCGTGTGACAGCAGCCTGCGCACAAGGTGAACTGGAGGCGCTGGGGTATTAACACCCCTCAGAGCAGCCCTCAGCCGACTACACGTGAGAGCCGATGGACCCCTCACCCCGTGGGTGGGCTTCAGTGGGAAGCATCTTCACCGCTCACTCCTATTGGTGAGAGCTAGTCACGTGACGCCTGTGGTGCAAAAAGTCTGGGAAATGCAGTTCCTGGCCAGGTGTGCCGCCTTAGGAGCTCTATGGAAAGGGGGCAGTTTTTAGAAGGAAACGACGAGCCACGGATGCATAATAAGTATTTGCTTGATTAATTAACTCGTGTATTAACTAATGAATGAGCAAACAAACCACTTGGAAAGGCTATTTCATAAATGGAGGCTGGACACTGAACCGCCTCCTGCGTGCGCGCTAAGTCACTGCAGTCGTGTCCGACTCTTTGCAACCCCACGGACTATCGCCCGCCAGGCTCCTCTGTCCGTGGGATCCTCCAAGGATACTGCAGTGGGGTGCCACGCCTTGCTGAGCTGCCTCGAGGACCCTCAAATCAAACATTCTGGGCCACTGATCTGGAAGAGAGCCTGATGTGGGCCCCGTCATCCCCCTGCCTGCTTCCCTCCCAGTACCCCTATACCTCCCTGCACCGGGTGCTTCACCCACTGGTGGGGCCTTCCAGGGGTGCTGGAGGCCGGCCCGTCTGCCTCTGCCGTTCCCATGTGGAGAAGTAGGCCCAGGGTGGTGTGGGGACAGGCCAGGGTCACGAGGAGAGTTTGTCAGTGAGGAGCCAGGCCCCTGGCTGCCTGACCCCAGGCCAGTGCCTGGGCCACTCAATAGCCGCTGGACCCTCATTGTTCAGCTAATTACTGCAAGTCCAGGCCTGTGCAGCGTCTGTGTGGGGACGCTGTGTAAACATTTCCTCTTAGGCAGAGCAGGAAATGAAGGGATGATGAGGTCAAGTGACTTCACTGGGCCCCTGCCGCCCTGCCCATCATCCCGGCCCCCGCCCGAGCCTGCCTGCGGCCCTTCCCAGGGCTTCTGAGTCAGGTCAGAGGGACGACCAAGGGGCTGTGGGCACTCCATCACCTCCTGCGCCTGGACCAGGGAGCCCTGGGGTTGAACCATGCCCTGCACTTCCTGGCTGGGTGCTCTTGGGAAAGTTGTTCAACCTCTCTGAGCTCTCATTTCCTTCTCTGCCAAGTCCCTTCCTCCCTCATGGAGTTGTGAGGATCGAATGACACCATGTGGGCAAAGCATTTGGCACAGGCCCTGACAGTGGGTTCTCACACTTTTCCTAATTTTTAAGCTCTTTTGAAAAGATTAGTCATTGAACTGTACACTTTAAAATAGATAATTGTGTGAATTTCACTATAAATGTGAAATTTATATTTATATTTCATTTCAAATGTGAATTTCACCCCAATTTAAGAAGATTATGTTTTAGATTTTTCTCCACTGTCCCCCCATCACATACATACTTATATACTTATACACACTCAAAACTCACACATCCACATACTCTCTCTCACACACACACACACTCACACACACACTCACACACACACACTCAATTGTTATCACCTTGGGAACTCACAACACCCCTTCAGAGGTATTCACCCAGCCTATAGATGGGTAAACTGAAGCTCAGAGAAACAAGCCACTGGAGGTCACCGTCCAGTTAGTGGCAGGGCCAAGAGCCAGCCTCAGTTCCCCTCCAAAGCTGGAAATAAACACTGACTGCAGATCCACCCAGGTCCGCCCTGAGTCCCACACAGCCCAGGCATTTATGAAGTGCCTCCAAGGCCTGCCCTATCCCAGGCACTGGGCTTGGAGCCCTCCCCTCCCTATGGACTTTTATGCTCAAAGCAACTTCAAGATGAGTCAATCTGGCACCCCATTTAAAGAAAAGTAAACAGACCAGAGAGGTTAAGTGACTAGCCCAAGGTCACACAGCTAATTAGTACCAGACCAGACACACAGCTGAGGCTTCCTGTTCCCCCACCCTCTCGCTGGCCAGGGCAGCCCCTGGCCTTGCTGCAGACATCTCCTGGGGAATTCTGCTCCAAATACAGAGCCCTGCAGCTGTGACGCAGGCAGGCAGGCAGGCCAGCAATGATGGGCTACAGCAGACCCGATGGACTTTGAGAAGTCTTGAGATAACAAGCTCCACTCCTGGGCTCCTCAGAATCTAAGAGCCACGCCACAGGTCTCTGCGTCCTAAAAAGAGAAGAGTCACTTTGAAGCTTAGGAGGAGACAGTTTCCCAAGTGCCTGTGTATCAGATCAAGTCATTCTCCCCATCCTATGGACTGTGGGATTTTTGAAAAAAATATTTCCCATTAAACTTAAAAATAAGTTCAAAGAAAAAAAGCAACAAGCCCTTCTGAGCAAGGCAAGGATCTCAAGCTGTCAGGAATTTGCTGCCCTCTGCTGGACAAAAGGGGCACGGCCACTTCATAATCAGCCCTTCGACACCCCCAGTTAGCCTGGATCTGACATAAGGATAGCTGTGCTTGTCACATGTGGGCTTGCATTCTCTCCATAACTAACAGCGACTCAGAGATCAGAAAGGTGTTCAGTGCATGATCTCTGCTGTTCACTCACTAATCCATCCACCCGGCCACACATCTTGATTGACCGGCTACTCTGTTGAGTCCTGTCCTGGGATGTTCTACAGAGCGAATGCATTCCAGAGGGGACCACAGATGACAAGCATATTAAAAACTAACAGACAAAGCAAATTAACAACAGGAAAGAAAAAAAAAGCCAAGTCGTTGTAAATGCTGTGACATTAAATCACAGAAGCAGGTAAGGGGCTGTGGGGGCCTCACGGAACACAGACTGAATGCAGTGAGGGGTGGAGTCACGTGGGGGGAACAGCAGTCCCGGCAGAGGGAACAGCCAGGGTGAAGGCGGGGCGGACAGGGCCTGTCTGCCCGGTCGGAGGAGAGTAAGGAGCCGACTGGCTGGATGAAGGGATGGAGGAGAAGGCCAGGACGCAGCGGATGGGCTGTTGCCTGCCGCCCCGCCAACATCTGAATCAGAGTGGTGCACGCTGTGTCCTCTGTCCAGACCATGGACAGAGGAAGCAGGGGCTCTTTGCACTGGGGGGACCCCCCAAGGACTGGTCCTTGGAGGAGCTTGGGGGTGAGAGCAGGGCTGCACGTTTCCTCCAGCGGGGAGTCCCAGGGCCCCCCCGGGATAGACGAACCTGA